ACATATTAGAGTACGCTAAAGTTACCGTATTGTTGAGGGGAAGACGTAGATATTACTTTCAGCTTCTCCTCCAGTAAGAGAAGAAAAAGGGAAAAAACATTTTTAAAAACACTGAAAATTAAAATAAAAAGTGAAATGCTTGAAATTAGTCAAATATGGAAAAACCTCAGTAAAATGAGATGAAGCAAACTCACCATTTAAAAGAAAGAGCTCAAAGAAAGTAAAATAAAACTGTGTACAAAAAAGAAAAAAGAGAGAGCTCAATGGGCTAGGTTTAAAATCCCAACTATATGCTGTTTATAAGATATTAATTTAAAATAGAAGGTTACAAAAGGATTAGAAGTAAAGGAATAAAAAAGATTAATCAAGCAAATACCAAAACAGAGATAAAGTATTTGTTAATATATGGCTATAAGATTAAGTTAATTGATTTGTTATAAAAAGTTAATTGCACTTTCTATATTCATATAGAGTATTAAAACAATTTAAAAAGGTACCATTTATAATATTTAAAATGTACTTAAGAATAAATCTAAAATTATATATATACAACTTTAAAAATAATTTAAAATTTTTTGAATTATATTAAAAATGCCTAAACAAATGAAGGAATAATATATGTTTATGAAAAGAAAAGTTTAACATTGTAAAGATAAATTTTCTACAATTTTTTAATTGAATATTTAATGCAACACCAATGAAAGTCTCAACAGGATTTACATGAAATTTTGGCAGGCTGATTTTTTTTTTTTTTAAACGGAGTTTTGCTCTTGTTACCCAGGCTGGAGTGCAATGGCGTGATCTCAGCTCGCCACAACCTCCGCCTCCTGGGTTCAGGCAATTCTGGCAGGCTGATTTTTAAATTTAAAAAGAAACACCAATAGAGATAATATGATTCTGATAAAAGAGCATAAGGAGAAATACCTACACTCTATTATGAAGCTATAGTTTTAAGACCATATGGTACAGACTAAAGGACAAATTTGTCAGTAGATTAGAGGAGAGCCCAGAAACAGATCCACTCAGATACCAAACTTTGCATAATAGAGCTATGAAGGAAGATAAGTGGGTAAAGGAGGAACTTTTTATTAAATGAAGTCAAGAAAAAAATGTTATTGTGTCAGAGGTGGTTAGCTGTCCACCAGAAACAAATAGTAATGTGATCACCTGAAGGTCACACTTTCAGTAAACGATGCTCATAATTCAAATATAAAATTTGACACTTAACCTTCTTTTTGTTTTTGTTATTATTTTTAACAAACTCATAATAATTATACATATTTATGGATTACAATTTATGTATACAATGTATAATGATCAGACTGGGTTCATTAATATGTCCATCACCACAAACATTTATCATTTCTTTATGTTGAGGCTATTCGAAATATACTCTTCTAGCAATTTAAAAATATACAGTAAATTGTCATTAATTATAATCACTCTGCAATGTCATAGAACTCTAGAACTTATTCCTCCTATCTAGCTGTAATTTTGTATCTGTTAACCAAAATTAGGCTATACCTCTCTCTATCCTTCCAAGCTTCTAGTAACCTCTATTCTACTTTCTACTTCTATGAGATCAAATTTTTTAGCTTTCACATGTGTGAGAACATGTGGTATCTGTCCTTCTGTGCCTGAATTATTCCACTTAACATAAAGTCCTCCAGACTCATCCATGTTGCTGCAAATGACAAGATTCATTCTTTTTTTGTGAGGCTGAATAGCACCTCATTGTGTACATGTACCACATTGCCTTTATCCATTCCTCTGTTGATGAACACAGGTCGAATCCATATCTTGGCTATTGTGAATACTGCTGCAATAAGCATGGGAGTGCAGACATCCCGTCAAGACATTTCCTTCTCTTCGGATATATATCCAGTAGTGGGATTGCTGGATCACGTGGTAGTTCAATTCGTAGCTTTCTGAGAAAGTGCCATACTATTTTCCATAACGGCTGCACTAATTTGCTTTCCCACCAGCTGCGTGTAAGAGTTCCCTTTCTCTGCATCCCCATCAGCATGTATTTTTTTTGTCTTTTTGATAACAATCATTCCACCTATATTAAGATAATATCTCATTATTGTTTTGATTTGCATTTCCCTGATGATTCGTGATTTTGAGCATTTGTTTCACATATTGGTTGTCTATTTCTACGTATTCTTTTAAGAGACGCCAATTTAGCTCATTTGAGCATTTTAAAATTGGATTGCTGGTGGGGTTTTTGTTTGGTTGGTTTTTGCTTTTGAGTTGTTTGAGTTCCTTGTATAGTCCAGATAGTAATCTCTTGTCGAATAGTTTGCAAATATTTTCTCCCATTCTGCTAGTTGTCTCTTCACTCTGATGATTGTTTCCCTCACTGTGCAGGAACTTTTTTAGCTTGATACAATCCTATTTGTCTATTTTTGCTTTTGATCCATGTGCTTTTGACATCCTGTTCACAGTCTTTGCCCACATCAGTGTCCTGATGCAATGGTTTGTTTTCTTCCAATATTTTCGTAGTTTCAGGTCTTACATTTAAGTCATCGACTTATTCAAAGTTGAACTTTTATATGTAAGAGATAGGGATTGGCCAGGCGCGGTGGCTCATGCCTGTAATCTCAGCACTTTGGGAGGACGAGGTGGGCGGATCATGAGGTCAGGAGTTTGAGATCAGCCTGACCAACACGGTGAAACCCTGTCTCTACTAAAACCACAAAATTAGTTGGACATGGTAGTGCATGCCTGTAATCTCAACTACTCAGGAGGCTGAGGAAGGAGAATCGCTTGAACCTGGGAGGCGGAGGTTGCAGTGAGCCCAGATCACACCATTGTACTCCAGCCTGGCAAAAAGAGTGAAACTCCATCTCAGGAGAGAGAGAGAGAGAGAGAGAGAGAGAGAGAGAGAGAGAGAGAGAAAGAGAGAGAGAGAGAGAGAGAGAGAGAGAGAGAGAGAAAGAAGAGGTAGAGAGAGATAGAGAAAGAGAGAGAGAGGTATCCGGTTTTATTCTTCTGCATGTAGATATCCAGTGTTTCCAGCATGATACTATGAATATATATGTTCACTTAGTGGTGTCCCATAACTCTTAGAGGCTTTCTTTGCTATTTTTTATTCTTTTTAAAAAAAAATCTGTCTGGATAATTTCAAATGATCTATCTTTAAATTTAGAGATTCTTTTCTTCTGCTCTATCAGGTCTACTGTTCAATCTCTCTATTGTATTATTTATTTTATTCATTGAATTCCTCAGCTTCAGGGTTTAATTTTTTAAAATAATATCTACCTCTATGTTAAATTTCTCATTCATATCATGAATTGTTTTCCTGATTTTGTTAAATTGTCTATGTGTATTTTTTGTATCTCATTGAGTTTCCTTAAAATCATTATTTTGAACTCCTTTTCCAGAATTTTTAGAATTTCATTTTTAGTGGGTTTCTTTTTCTTTTTTTTTTTTTTTTGCTAGAGAGTTACTGTGTTCTTTTAGTGGTGTCGTATTTCCTTGCTTGTTTATCTTTCTTCTATCTCTGCATGATGTTCTTGTATCTGTGCATCTGGCGGAATATTTACCTTTTCCAAACTTTCTAGAATGCTCTTTGTAGAGAAAGATTTTCACCTGCCGTTTGCTCTTAGCATGCTGGTAGGTAAGGGCAACTCTGTTTTCAGGTAAGTTGAGTGATATAATCTCTATGCAGCTTCCTCAGCTGTGTTCCCTGTTGGTAATAACTGTGGGTGCCTCAACGGCTTAAGTTGTAGAAGTTTGTGGCAGTGGCAGTAGTGATGGAGGTTGTTAAAGTCTTCATGGTGAGGGCTTTTGGGGGTCCTCTTATTCTTATTTCCCCCACAGTGTGGAGACTTAGCTGAGAGAATCCTTCCTGGTGGCAGATCTGACATGGTCTACAGGCAGCTGCAGTGGCACTAGGTTCCAGGTGAAGGTGCTTAGAGCATTTGTGGGGCTCAGGTCCTAGGTTCAGGGTATCACAAACACTGTGGCACCTGGGTCCTGTGGTGCAGGTTTGCTCTCTGTGTTTAGGGTTGGATGTACATTGTTCAGAGAGCCTTGATCTGGGACTCTGAGGCACCCATTAGCAGTTTGGGCTCAGGGGGCTGGGTTGTAGCTGCAATTCTACTTCTGGGGGCTGGGGGAAAAAACTAGTGTGACTCAAGAGAAGAGTGATCTGGAGGTTTGGACCCAGGGGGTAGAATATGGCTGCACTTCAGGAACCTGAGCCAACAGGGCTTGATGGCAACTCAGGCGTCAGGGAATGACAAATGATATAATGGTGACTCTAGATGCTGGGGTTGGTGGGATTGTATTTTAGACTCTGTGATGCCAGGTACAATGGCAGCAAGGACCCTAAAATGGCAGAACACAACTGCTGTCTTGGCCCTGGGGAGCAAGATGCAGCACAGCCAAGATTCCACTTCCTGGGGAGTGAAGCCTGACACTTCACTGTTTGCAACCCTCATTGTGTGATCTTTAAGAAGTTCCTTAACTTTCCTGGATCTCAATTCCACATTCCTAAGATAGGGCTAACCCTGTAGTTCTCCAAGGGTGTTTTGAGGATCATTTGGTTAACTTTTGCATGCTTCATAAATGAAGGTATTGGTTAGTCCTGAGTCTTCTGCAGAATAACTGCTTGATATTGATAAGCCATTTTACCTCTCAGAGCCCATACTTGGAAATCTGTTAAATAAGTATAAGATATGCCTCATAGAAGTAGCAAATTAAACTGTAAATTAAACAATGTGAAACAATGGGTACAATACCCAGCTTACAGATGCTTGATAAATAGTACCTGTTATTCTAGTTCAAATTTCACTGCCAAGTTTCAAGTTAAATTTAGAGCTTCAACTTTGTCAGTATCTTACTGTTATATACTTTAGTGATGAATTCTTTGAGGCATTCTGAAGACAGAAGCACAAAAAGCAAGCTCTTAGCATTTTGGCTTCTGGTTACTGAAATATTTAACATCACATCAGATTAAGGGATAGAAAAGAAATGTAACATTACCACGTTACGCCACTAGGTGGTAGTCTACGATCATTGCTTTGCTAGTATCAGGTAGCCGTTGACTGGCCAGCAGAGGGCTCAGGTCAACGCTGTCGCTGGAGAAAATCCGGGATCTCAAGCAGACAGGTATTTGTGCGTGGTGCATGTGCATGTGTGCAAGAGGGAATGGGGAAGGAGAGTGAGGACAGAGAGGGGAGAGGAAATCCAAGTGAGACAAATGCCCTGTGAAGTTTGGGAACAGGTCTACCCACTGTCTACTCACCCACCTCCATTTTTTTCTTTTCTTTTCGTTTCTCCCTCCCTCCCTCCCTCCCTTCCTTCTTTTCTATTTTGACAAAGTTTCCTTCTGCACCCAGGGTGAAATGCAGTGGCAGGATCATAGCTGACATCCCCAGACTCCTGGGCTCAAGCCATTCTCCCACCTCAGCCTCCCGAGTAGCCAAGATTATCCACCACAATTTAAAGCAGAACAGCGAAGAGGACCCATGTAATTTATGCAACCTGAGCATTCGTGGATAGCAGCACATACAGCAGCTCCTGTGAGTGTCTATTCAATCAACCACTGAAATGCTGGATCTACTAAGTCTACGAATCCTAGTTAGGATTACTAATTTAATCTTACTGTCACATTGCTTAACCTCACTCGTCAATCCTCGGCTTCCTCATCAGTGAGATGGTTGTTGTGAGGTATTCAAGGTGCACATGTGCGTGCTTAGCACATGCTTAAAGCCCTGTGACGTCAGAACGTCCGCTCTGTCATCGTCAGCACCATCTTTATTATTTCCTGGTCTTCCACAGGGTCTCTGAAGCTTGCTTCTAAAATCCCAGTCCCCAAGGCCAGCAGGGTCTGAAACTGCTCAGCACACATCTGCCACATTAGGCTTTGGGGCACGGCAGTAGCCTGGGGACAGCAGATGGAGGCACTGGGTGAAGACCACGGTGCTTGCACCTGCTGCTTCGCGATGGAGGGAGGGATGCCCCAGGTTCAATTCTGTTCCTGCTTCTCTATTAGAGTGGGAACATGGGCTGGAGACTGGAAAGCCCTATAGAGATGAAAAGGGTCATTACCTCTGGTATAATTCTCTCATTTACTGAGAAACAAAAGAGTAAGACTTGCTGCCCATTAGGTCTCAGTAACAGCAACTGATCTCCATGTCTCTCTGATTTTCAGGGAGCCCCAGCGACCTCCATGTCACCCTCTTCTCCCCAGCTTCTTTCAGGCCTGGCTGCCACCTGGCAAGACCTGCCCATCTGGTTTTCCTGGGCTTCCCTCTGCTAGTGTTTGGCTAGGGCGGGCCAGGGAGAGGCTAGGGGCACCGGCTGCCAGGGGTGGGCAGGGTGTGTCTAACCCCACGGAGGAGGTTGGGCGGCCGCGGAGAAGGGCCGAGGGTGGAGCTCTGGGCATAGACTTGGGTCCAATGAAGGCCCATAGCTCAGGAGGCTGAGGGTGACTCCCTGGAGGCTGGGCTGGCCCCAGGCTTTGCTTGGGAGTGAAGGGAAGGGCTTGTCAGAGCAGGATGTGTTCCAGAATATAAGGACCGCAGCAGTGTGAGCCGCCTCTCACATCTCTCGGCCTCCAAGCCCGTGCTCTGCAGGCCTCTGTGCTCTGCTCTCCTCCCTCCTCTCTGCCTTCTGGAGTCCCCTATACCTGTTAGGCCCCAGAAGGCTCCCCTTTTGGGGTGTACTCCATCTCCTAGGGCGCGTCCCTCATCTGAACTCTGTTTCCACTGTGCTGTGTACATATGCTTGACCAAGCACGTGCTACGCTGCACCTCTCTCCTTTTCTCCTCTAGGCCGAAAAGTCCCTGAGAGCAGGGCCTGTGTTATTCATTCATTGATTAACTCATCAGTTTCTTCCATAAAGATTGAACACTCTTGGTTACTTGATAGGCCTTGTTTTAGGTGCTGGAACTGGCCCACTGGGCGAGGTCTGAAATTCAGCTCCTGACTCCTGGTCTTGTGCTTTTCCCAAGATTCCCATCCCCACCTACCTCTCCCAGAGCCCAGTCTGGGGATGTATGTCAGGGAAGCAGTGCCCAGAGCCCCACCTTTCCCTCAGAGCCCTGATGGGATATTGCCGGCAGCATTCTCCCCGCAGGGATGAGAGGCACACCTGTGCGGTTTCCTTCTTCCCCAGGATATTCTGGGAACCACAGGGATATGCCCTTCCCTTTTCTTCTTTTCCCAGGGTGGTGACAGGGACCAGACCCACACTCACTGGGGCCTAGGGGGAACCCTGGTTCAGACCCTCCAGGCTACGCGACCTCAGGCGACTCCTGTAACCCCTTTAAGCCTTGGTTTCCTCATCTCTAAAAAGGTGATAGTGATACAGGAGCTAGAAAGAAATGATTTAGGCAGATAGTGAGGGTAAGAGAGTCTTTGGAAGGTTTCCTTTTAGTAGAAAGCAGCCCCTAAATAATTTCTTTTCTAACAAAAAGCACTGTGAAAAATCAAGCTGCAAGCATAGATAAGCAAGCTAAAAAGCTTGCATAGGTAAATACTGGCAGCTGCGCCACTAGAAAAGGGATGTCTGGAGGCAAGGTATATTCAACATGGAGGGTCCCTCTTCCCTTTTGTGCAGTAAAAAGCAGGCAGCATGGTGCCAGCCGGGTAGAATACCATCTGCATAATAAAAGATTAGAGTGGGATGGCCAACTTCTCTGCGTGCTATGCAAATGACACACCTGGTTCCACCAATCTCTTGTGTTCTATGTAAATCAGACACTGCCTCCTCAAGCTCGTCTATAACGCGCCCCCTCCCCCCGCCCCGTGCATTTCACCAGGGCACCCGAAGACCCACTCTAGAGCCCCTCTCTCTGCAGGAAAGAGTTCTTCTCTTCTCTCCTTCTTTTGCCTATTAAACCTCTGCTCTTAAACTCCCTCCTTGTGTGTGTCCCTGTCCTCGATTTCCTTGGCGTGAGGCAATGAACCTTGGCTGTTGCCCCAGACAAATGACACCGCTTTGATACCCAGAGTGTCTTCTCCATAAGGTAAGTTGAGAATTCTTCGATTCTGTGCCTTCAATAAATGGTAGCTTCTGTCCTTCTGCCCCCACCCCACAGGCCTGAGGACTGAAGTCAACTTCTGTCCATGGCAAGTCAGGCTCCAACTTAGGAGACTTAGAGCTAGGAAGTCCCATCTCCCTTTTTCGGTGCTCAGCCCTCGCTAGAGTAACAACAATGATAATAGTTATTATAACAATGTTCATCTTTTTGATAGCCCTTGTTTTGCGCCAGGCACTTTACGTTTATTAACTCATTTACTCTTTGGTACGATCATATGAAGTGGTATCATTATCATCCCCCTTTTTCAGATGATGAAATTCAGAGAGGTTATGCAACTTTCCCAAGGTCACACAGCTGATAAGTACCCATTAGAAATCAAGAGACATTCTGGACTGCTGTCAGGCTCCAATTGCATACAGTTGGTTGCCACAGCAATGGCCAAGGTAAAAAGGTAAGTTGAGAGCATCTGAACTGGGGCATAAATGAAGTGAGCACAGCTAGGGACCTTCCTGGGACACCTGGACACCAGGCCCCTGCCGACTCACCCTCTTTTTGTGCCCACTGAGTTGTGCTGCCTGGCATCTGAAGGGGGCACATCAATGTTCTGGGGAACGAAAAGGGTGGCAGGAGAGTGATTGGTCTCTGCTCCCTCCTCAGGGCACACAGGGCTTCCAGAAATTCTCCCAAATGTGCCGAAGCCCACATAGGTGCTCTCAAGTAGAAACCACAGTGCTCACTCACGCCCCAGGAGTGTCCCCAAATACATTCCCTCGTGAAAATTTTCTCTAATACACTTAACTCTACCCCTTCTCTAAATTGCTGATGACAGTTTAAAATGTTGTTTTCCATTCTGCCTCTCTTCTCGTTTGTAGAACAGAGGAAGCCGGAGACACATGGGCTGAGGGGAAATTCATGAGGACTCAGCCACCTGGGAGGTGTTTCTCAAGAGCTGCCGGCATCGTTGGCTCAGTGGGAGATCTTGGTGTCAGAGTCAGCCAGGAGGGCAGGGCTCATTCTTGCTTCATTCTTAGGTTCTGCGTAAGATTCCATTCTACACAGCTTCTGTGCTAAAAACAGAATTTGAGGGCTATTGGGGTAGATGATTCCTAGATTCCATCTTGGCTTCCACCTCCTAGGGCTTATTCATTCATTCCTCAAATATCATGCAAATGCCAGGAGCTCTGCAGATACTGAGGATGCAGCGGTGAAAAAGAGTAATGTTCCCTGCCCTCATGGACCTTAGATCCAGTATGAAAAAAGAAGGGAAGCAAGAAAATAATGAATAAATGGAGTAATTAAACATTATCATAGCTGCCATGAAGAAAATCAGTAAGACAAGGTGATAGAGACTCACTTGGGGGCTCCTTTGGATAGCGTGGTCAATGGAGGATTCCCTGAGAAGTTTAAGCTGAGTCCAGGATGATGAAAAAAAAAAAAAAAAACAACCAGATTTGTCAAGAACCAAGGAAAAAGCGTTCCTGGTATCGGGAACTGTGAGTACAAATGTACTGAGGCAGGAAAGAGATTAGAGTTTACTACGGCTGGAGCAGAGGGAGGGAGGGAGGGAGAAGTCAGACCTAAGAGTAGGTTTATTCTAAGTGCAAAGCCATTAAAGAGTTCTAAGCAAGGATGAGACACCACCTGATTTTCCTTTTTTTTTTTTTTTTTTTTGAGATAATGTCTTGCTCTTGTTACCCAGGCTGGAGTGCAATGGCGCAATCTCAGCTCACCGCAAACTCCGCCTTCTGGGTTCAAGCAATTCTCCTGCCTCAGCCTCCTGAGTTGCTAGGATTACAGGTAGTGTGCCACCACACCCAACCAATTTTTGTATTTTTAGTAGACGGGGTTTCTCCATGTTGGCCAGGTTGGTCTTGAACTCTTGACCTGAGGTGATCCACCCACCTCAGCCTCCCAAAATGCTGGGATTACAGGCAGTGAGCCACCATGCCCAGCCCTAATTTTTCATTTCCATGAAACATCACTTTTCTGCGGAGAGGAGAATGCCTTGCAAGGGGCAAGGAGATCCACCAGGAAACTGTTGCAGAAGAGGGTGATGACTGGGGCTGGGTTGGCCGTGGAGATGAGGGAAGTGGACGGACTGAGGCAGAGCCGACTGGATTGGCTGAATAACTGGCTGTGGGAGGTA